TTTTAGCTTCAAATTTACAGTTTGGGGCAAACTTAACGTTTTTCCTGCATCGTTTTCACCCACAGTAAGGCACCTCTTTTTGGAGGGAAAAATAAATAAAAACTGATGATTGAACCCTTAACTTCCAGTGTAAATAAGTGACAAAGTGCTTCACACTTGCACAAAGCAACTAAAAATAAATTCATCACTCTTGCTTCACCCAGAGTTTTTCCTGCCAGTTCCATTTTTTTTTTGTTGAGCTTTTGTGCGAACGCAGCAGGAAATACTCAGGAAAAATTCACCTTGAGCGAGTGGGCAACCCGCACATGACCAAAGACTATATGCACACAAATCGTGTGATTTCCATGCACATAATGAAACTGTTGTTCTTCTCCATTCTTTTGTTAACATTGATATTGTGTTGAAACAACAGGTAGCATTGCTACAAAGGCAAAAATGTTCCACTATAGCATAAATAGCAGTCGTTTCTTTTTATTGAAAATGTACTGTAACCAATGCATGGATGCATTAATGGTTTAACTTCACCAAAGTTAGGGAGTATGTTGTCACAGACACAACTGTAAATCATTTGCCATGCTTTGTGAGGTTGCTCCGGTCCAACTTTAGGGGGTGCAAAGGGTGACAACATGCACCCATAAGCTCTCAGCTTTTGGACTGGGACAACTTTGTTTCTTTTATCCTGAAGAAAGTCAACTGAAGCTCCTGTGTATGTGTCCTTAGCCACAAGGCCACAGTGTTAATGAAAACTGACATTTCTTTTACTTTGTGTCTCTTATCATAGCAACATCTGAGAGCCATGGTGGGAAAAGTAGATAAAAAAAAAAAAGAGAGAAGTAACATTTTCATTGCTCAGCAGTAGAGGAGATGGTTTTGATAGGAAACAATGTCTCCCTTCACATTTGATTTCCCTGCTGGGAGATCTTAAGGTGCTCAGACTTCTGTGTCTGTCCGCTGGCCAAATAATGTCCAAACAGGATTATAGGTGCCCAGTGTTCTCAAGATCGCAGGGCCTCTTCTTTGGAGCCTCTCTTTGGACTACCTGGTATTGGAATTCCCCTTGAACTCCCTCCACTGCTCCCCCTACCAGTCCGCCTTTGTGTCCTTGCTCCTAAACCCACTTCTGCTGGGTCCTGGCTTTTTCTGACTCTGTCCTGTGTCCAGCAGAGTCTCGGGAACAGCTCAGAGGTTGCGTGTGATTGCAGTGTGTGATCTCCTGCTGCAGAATAATGGGCTTCCTCTCTCCCTTGTTATTAACAGACTTATCATAACAGGATTATTTCCCCGTCACAAACCCCACCTCTGGATCTTGTTAGAAAGCTACCTGGGAACCTCTTTCTTCTGTCAGTCCTGCTCACACTCATCCAGGGGCCTGTCAGTGGCATGTGGAGGACAAACTCTCACAACCCCCTCCATGTATTCACAGCTCCTGTCAGAGGCAGTGGGGCGGGTTTAAGCCATTCAGCATCATTTAATAGTTTTAGATGTCAGGATGTGGTGTTAAGTGGCCCCTGGTTGACCCCAAAAGAGTTTGCTGCACCACTATAGGAGTTATTTTTGAACACCAAATCAAATGCCTCGCCGAGAGAACGCCTCATGAAAGACTATCAGAGTGATTTCAGGCACTTGAGATGCTTTCTATTATTAGAGATGACTGTTTTGTTTCTCTTCCTGTCTTATTCTGCTGACAGCAGAGAAGGATGCATGTAATGAGGAAAGTGGAGGGTTGATGGAGGGATGGTAGAAGCATTTTTTGTTTTTTCAGAGGAATGCAGGGGGAGGAAAAAAAAGGGAGGAACAACCAGTGAGAAACATCAGAGGGAGAAAATTGGCTTTTTGGATTTGTTGCCGGAGTAGCCAGAACAAAAACCAGACCCTTGAAGGTCACAGGGGTGGGAGGAGAGAATCAGACCAGCTCCACCCATCAGGGGGTCAGAGAGAAAGGGCTTTGGGGGGGTCACGGTTGACGGTCTCAAGGGGTTGTTAATTCTATTATCCCTGCCTGAGAGGTCCTTGTCAAGGCTGGGAGAGAAGAGGAGGTGGGAACGGCAGCATAAAAGGTAAAAGGAGGTTGTGAGGCATGATTACTTTGGAATGGGAAGTGATCACATACCACAAATATCTTTATCTCTTTGACTCATGTGAACTCATGAAGTCTCTCCCTGTCATGCACACACAGATTCAGAGTTTAGTTCAGATGGATTCAACTTTCCCATTCTTTGCTTAATGATAATTAACAAATACACTAAACCCTATTTGATTTTTTCTCTTCTTACCCTCTCTGCTCTACTGACTATATGTAAGCTATTTCTCCATCCATTTTAGTCCAACATGTCTCAAGGTTTCTGCTAAAAATGAACAACCAACCATGTGTTTGTATTCTTACCAAAATCAAAGATAAATTCATGGCTTTAGGTTCCAAAACCTCCTAACTTGTCACCTCTGCAGTTGCTTCCTACATACCTCTTGAAGGCATGGACAAGTCACAAAAATGTCTTTCTAAAGTCACCAGTATTCTTCAAACAAATTGCTGGATTGGCCTTGTAAAAAAAAAAAAAAAAAAGAAATCTGCCCACAACTTTCTCACACTGGTACTGAAGGCAGCTGCAAACAACAAACATCACAAAACCACTATTTTACATATAAAAAAGAGTTGCTTCTTTAATTGTGTCTTTGAAAAGTGTTGTTGTAAAGCTGACACCAACAAACAATAAGACAACCGCACATCTCTAGGTTTCATTAGCTAACTGTGTTGAAGCTCTTCGTTTAAACACAGCAAACACTTAGTGCTCCTAAGAACTGGGTGAACATCCAAGTTCAACATTGTGGATGTCTCAGAGGAGAGAGAGTGTGAAAAGCTACAAACTTTTCCCATTTGTGCCAATCGTCTGTCCTTTAGTGTGTCCATTTGAAAGAGGTCTATAAATGTGGCTTTTCTTTATGATAAGACAAATAGAATGATTAACACACATCACAGCTAATAACACCTGGTAAACCACTTTGGTGTGACAGCAGCTTTTATTTGAAGAACATCAAGGCTCTCTGGCTTCCATTACAATTGATGCTATTGTTATGTTAAGTGGTAGTAGTGCTGTACTGTAATGTTTTTAAGTAAACAGCCTGAATCACAACATGCTGAGGCATCTTGCAATTTACTGCAATCCGATAACAATTTCTTCAAAACAAAACAAAAACTGTTCATATACTTCTATGTCTATCATATGTATGGGATTTATTTTGACAGTACAGCTGCTTTGTGTATTTCTTTTTTTTTTATCCATACTGCACATTAAACAAATAAACTCCTTCACCATCTTCATGTTTTGCTTAACACTGCACAAAGAAGACCTGTTGCGTCTCATTTCCTAAATCTTAAATTTAAAAAAAAGCTATTTGGGAGGGAGAACTGTCTTATTTAGTTTATTTAGACTTGCTAACATTTCCAGTTCATGTAATAATCATTGAATGCTATGAATACATTGTCTCAGTGTGTGTGTGGATGTTCATTTACTTTCACAGTGCTGTTTGTGTGCACAATTGTAGCCCTGGCAGACTGTGTGCAGCCATCGCTGGCATGGATTATTCCACTTGGCCAGACAGATTTGGTTTGGCACGACAGGCTCAGGATATGTGTCCCCTCTCTGTCCCGCGGGGGCATCTAACACTGATAATACTATCTGCATATGGAAGACTTAATCTGCTGCCTCTTACTGTGTTAATATTATGTATCCATGTTTCTCATCCTAAAAATAGTGCTGAGACCAAGTGAGGCTCTGATTCTGCCTTCAAAGACGTTTTGTTAGGAGCGTGAGCATTGTGATCAGCAGACAGTGAGGGGTTCGGTTTTCAAATCGCTTTAGTTGCAGAACACAGATGAGTGCTCACCAGGTTCAGACGGGGACGTTCAGGAAAATCTCCGAGCAGCTGCACATGGTGATGACCGTGACTCATTTTCTCTCCCCGTGTCTGTTTCATCCTGACTCTTTACTTAATCCATCCTCTTTTTTTTTCCCCCTCCCTGCCGTTAATGACATTGACAATTAGCATGAGTGTATTTAATGAAGGATGGGACTTAGCTGTGGGGGGGACTGGGGACCCACTACCTCTGGAGAAATCTTTGAAATAAACAGCTGTAAAGTGGCAGTGGCACAAAAAAATATATTTGAGATCATTTAGAAAAGGCAAAATAAATTATTTTGGAGATACATGTTCCAGCTAAGCAGGCTTAAGGGTCATACATTTGGTTGTGAAGACATTTGGCAAATAACAAAAATGAAAATCCTTTTCAACAGTGCATTGGGAAATGTCAAACATGCTGCATTAAAGCGGCAACATCCGATGTTGAAAAATGAAGCAAATGCAGACGTGCAACAAAACTAAACTGCAGTTCTTTGAGTGTCCACTTGAGGCCGTCTGCAATAGCCAAGGACTCCCCATTAGAGCCCATATTAATGCCCATTTTACAGCAGAAAGAAACACGTTTACAGCTTGGTTGTTTTGGTCTCTATAGCTCTTTTTTAGTGTTTCAAACTGCACAAGGGGGGAATTGTTTTCTAAGTTATCCATATTGAATGTATGAAGGCTGAGAGCGATGCATAATAAGCCATAATAGTGGGCGTGGTTGATTCGATTGGCGGACGGGCACATTGTAGCTGTTTCTCAGGAGGCTGGTTGTTGGATTTTTTTATGCTGTTTTCATCATTTCGAACATTTTAGACAGATGATGAGTTGGATGTGCATGTGTTGGCAACAAAGCTATTCATTCAACCAACTCTGTGCCTGCTTCTTGAATAGCGAGAAGTTGGTTGGAGTCAGTATTTCCAAAATGGCAGCCACTATCCTTAGGCTTCATAACACCTCTTCAGACACCAATGGGTGACGTCACAAAGACTACGTCCGTGTAGACTGTATAAGACATGGACGTAGTCTCAGACTCAGTATAGTCAATGGTATGTAGATAAAGCATGGATTCAAAATGCTGTCTGTTTTCTTTTTCTCATCAGAGTGTTTGGTGGTGTCTGAAGCCGTTGGGGTGCCATGGCTCTGGTTCAGGCACTTCCTGTCACTGTGACTGACCACCCTAACCCAGGTCTCGACGTCCAGCAGTGCCGGCCACTATCATCCCATTCCCCCTCCGGCCCCTGCCCCGGCCCCTGTGGTCCCTGCAGCTCTGGGACAGCCATGGGTTCTGTCAGCAGCCTCATATCAGGCCGGACGTACCAGGAGAGGCACTGCCGGGCCGCCAGCGAGTTCACCACCAAGTCACGCCGCTCCACACCGGCCACCAGCTGCTTCCGACTCCAGGATAACACCCTCCGTAGCACGAGCTCCCTAGAGCAGCTCCTGGCTATCAGCACTCAAACGCTTCCCCAGGCCCAAGTTCTTCCTCCACCGCTGCCCACCAAGAAGCAGCCCAGGCCGGGTAACTCTGCTGGGGCAGGCAGTGGAACGGTTGCAGGAGCAGTTGGTGGTGGTGGTGGTGGGACTAATGGGAACTTTGGGCATGTGAGCAATGAGGGGGTCGCTGGAGACTGGAAAGACAACCAGGCACTGGCAGCTGTGAGCCCATGCAGTGACTCTGAGGACCAAACGGACAACAGGACACTGAATGGCAACATTGGAGGGCCCCCTCCCAAACTCATCCCAGTATCTGGACAGTTAGAGAAGGTAAGAGGGCTAGATGGGCAATGAGTCTATAAGCTGATACCCTTTTTGCTAATAAACAGCATAATGTGCCAATCATAAAAAAATGTGCTAATGCCTATTACCAACTCTGATACATAAACATAAACAACACAGAGTACAAATCAAATTCCACATTACAGCTGTAAGAGCACACAAGTAAACCTACACGGCAACATGCAGGATAACGCTGAACTGCCACAGAAGCCAAGTCACTACCAGCAAGGACATATTTCTTGGAATACAAAACCTTACTCATGAGCATTTCTGCAGCATGTGCCCCTATTTTTTTTTTTTACAGCAGGCTGCCTCAGCTGTCTAATTGGCTATTTATTATCATTGATCTGGAGGGGAACTTAATCAGCGGCCTGACAGGCTCACATGGACCGTTTGACAGCTCCTCACCTTGCACAGACATCATGATCAATGTTAGGGCTCACTTACATTCAGTGATGTAATTATTCGAAGTTGAGGAAGATCGTTAAGAAAAATGCTTACAGAACATGTTGAGGAGCTTTCACCCGCTCTGTCTTCATCTCCTCCTCCTCCTCCTCATCCCTTTGTTTCTCTGCCCTTTAATCAGATTTCCTCTGTCCTCTCCTCTTTCACTTTCTCCCTCTCTTGGCTGGCACTGTATGTTACATGATAGGAAAATCATTAAGAAAATTGTGTAATGAAGCCCATGAATATCAATTAAACCAAATTAAACTAATCAGAGCCTGGAGGGCTGACCTGCCGGCATATCACTCACCCCTTACTAATGAGTTTTATTCAGCCGTTGCTAATTAGCATAGTTTTGCTTTTATCAATCACTTATACTTTTTTTTTTTACTTTTAGAACATGGAGAAAGTTCTGATCCGTCCTACGGCGTTCAAACCTGTTGTCCCCAAGAACCGTCATTCTGTACACTACTTATCACCGAGGCCAGGGGGCGGCAGTCTGTCAGAGAGCCAGGCCAGCCTCAACCTCCTGCTGCCCCTTGGAGGGTCCAACAGCTCCCATAGCACAAATGGCAATGGAGGGAGCAGCACTTCAAGTTCCGATGGTAAGCGCAACTCCTTCAGCGGAGGTCGAAATGCTCGGAGCAGCCAGTCCTGCTCCATGTCCGATTCAGGGAGGAACTCCCTCTCCAGCCTCCCTACTCACAGCAGCACAGGCTACAGTCTGGCCCCCAGTGAGGGCTCCAGCTCTGGGTCTGGCACCGGGGGGCAGCTGGAGCCCTCCAGTCTGGGTAGAAACACTTCAGGTGGGAGTGGGAGCCACAACCACACTAACTCAGACAGTGGACGCTCCTCATCCAGCAAGAGCACAGGCTCGGGGTCGCTCAGTGGGCGCGGGCAGCCCCTGTCGGACAGCGGGTCCTGTGGCCACTCGCCGCCACCGGTGGAGGGCTATGAGACGGTGGTGAGGGAGCTGGAGGAGAAGCTGAGGGAGCGAGATCTGGAGCTCCAGCAGCTCCGGGAAAATCTGGATGAGAATGAAGCCGCAATCTGTCAGGTGAGACATCAAGACCCACACACACACTGACCAAACCCTCCAGTAAAACACCCAATAAAGAACATGATGTCATTATGATGCAGTACAAAGAAACACTAACTGGTGCCCTTTGCTCTGAAAGGTGTATGAGGAGAAGCAGCGCCGCTGTGAAAGAGAGATGGAGGAGTTGAGACAGAGCTGTTCAACGAAGATGAAGCAGACCTCTCAGAAGGCTCAGAGGGCACATCAGGTGCTACAGTTACAGGTATGCTTCATATAAAACATATTATTACCTTGTGTAGATTCATGCTTAAGATGTGAGTCTGAGGCTTCACTCTGCATTGAACAAACTGTTCTAGTGTGTAGGGCAGTTATTCAAAATGGGTGTGTGTGTGTTTTTAGGTGTTTCAGCTACAGCAGGAGAAAAAGAAGCTGCAGGAGGACTTCTCCTCTCTGCTGCAGGACAGAGAGACGCTGGAGAGGAGGTGTGCCACCATCCAGAGGGAGCAGACCCAGCTGGGGCCACGGCTGGAGGAGACCAAATGGGAGGTGAGAGAGAGTCAGACCCTGGAAAGGTGTTACATTGGAGGTGCAAACTGTGATGTGATTAAGTGTGCATACTGTTAACCATTCTACACCTCTCACTCTTCTGTTGACTCGCTAACAAAGCATAGATTACCCCTTAAAGGAAGGTGTTAAAACACCTTAAAGGAGGTTAAATTAACCTAATTAAAGATTATAATCATGGAAGGGGAATTTTCAGGGTTTCAAGTGTTCTCTTTGACTTTCTTTCTCTGGTCCTTTCAGGTATGTCAGAAGTCAGGAGAGATCTCCCTCCTGAAGCAGCAGCTGAAGGAGATCCAGTCAGAGCTTAGCCAGAAAGCCGGAGACATTGTGGTGCTGAAGGCCCAGCTGAGAGAGGCCCGTTCCGAACTGCAATCCAGCCAGGCTCGATCCCAGGAGGCCCAGGCGGCCGTGAGGACGCGAACTTTGGAGCTGGAAGTCTGCGAGAACGAACTCCAGAGGCGCAAGAGCGAAGCGGAGCTGCTCCGTGAGAAAGTGGGGCGTCTGGAGGAAGAGTCTGTCCGCATGCGTGACACTCTTCCTAATCATAACGGACATCTACCTGGAAATGTAACTCTGAAGGGCCAGTGCATGAGCCTCACCCTTCAGCAGAGTAGAAGCATGGGAGGCAGAGGAGGGCCGAGTCCCTGCGTTTACCGCGACGGAGATGAGGCTCATCTGGTGTGGGGAGGAGAGAGTGATGAAGCAAAGGCTCAGAGGCAGAATGCAGAGGCAGTGCTGGGACTCAGACAACAGGTACATGTTTCTATTTTCCCTCTTTTCCAGGCATCAGTACTGAATAACAACATTCATACAGTTCCTGTTTTATACCTATCATGAATCATGATATGATGAAAATGTGATACGATATGATACGGTACAGTATGATAGGATAGGATATGATACAATACATTTTCTTACCCCTTGTCTTGGACTTAATCACTTCTCTGCGTATATTCTCAGCTTAAAAGAATATATCACTTTTAAGCTGTACATTATAACTTTTCAAACAAAATGTTCTTCTTTAGTCTCTTTTGCAAGAGATAGCAAGTTGTTTTCAAATATTGTACCACAAGACAGGATCTGAAGTTGTTTAAAGTCCCTTCATAGAGACAGACATAGATTTACTTTATTGATCCCAAACTGGGAAATTGTGGAATCGTGTTCATTTGGCTCTATGATGTTAAAATGCTGCTTTTTCTGTGAAAAAACGCTTTCTCATGTTAATTTTGCCTATGTTGTTGCTAATGCATCTGTAATTTGCATTTTAACGTTACTTTAAAGTAAAGAAGCAATGTACCTTTTTCAAGTTTTGAAGTATTGCTGTTTTTTTTTTTCTACATTTCATCTTTCTGTTTTCAGGTGGACAGGCTGAAGGCTGAACTCATGTACGAGAGGAGAACGAGTGAGGAGCAACTTTCACACTTTGACAATGAGAGGCGGGTGTGGCACGAGGAGAAGGAAAAGGTAAAACAGAGGAGCTTTTTTTTTTTCTTGTCTGTCAATGTGTTTTTCATAAATGCCCTGGTGAATCAAGGTTATTAAACAATTTCTAAAGAACACTTAAATAGTCTCTGTGTACTAACTTACTGTTCCTCTCTGCTCTTAGGTAATCCGCTACCAGAAACAGCTGCAGCAGAACTACATCCAAATGTACCGCCGAAACCGGGATCTTGAGCGAGTGATGAGGGAGCTGAGTCTGGAGCTGGAGAGCAGGGACATGGAGGACTACGAGGTGCACAGTGGCAGCAACGACATCCACTTTGAGGAAATCACCGCCACTGAGATCTAAAAGAGAACCCACACGCTAACAGTGCGTGTGGGTGCGCACAGGAACATGAAAACACAAAACCAAACATTGAAACACCAGGCAAAATCTGCACTACCTTCAACATGGCGTAACCTGGACCACAGAGCAAGCACTCACCACTTATCACTGTCAAAAGGGAGATCTCCAAAAGGTGCATTATTACTCTCTGCTATCACAAGCACTACAGTAAATCCTTACAACGTGTCTCTCCCCCGGACTCTTTATTTTTTTTAGATGGGTTTTTCCACTATAAAGCCAGCACAAAGACTTTTTTTTCAAAAACTGTGTTTCCTTTTTAGACCACGTTCAAATCAGGGTATCTGAAAAACAACAAGGAAAATAAAGCAAAAAAAAAGCAAAAAAAAAAGCTACTATATGCACAGCAATCTGGTCGAAGCACCGTCACACCTTTTCTTGGTAGCACACGAGGTTAAACAGCCGGCCACCAGCATGCATAAAAAGGATGCATCATGACCACACTCCTGCGATCAACACCCACCGCTGCCGGCTCTTAATGATGACATCATCACGCAACAACAACTAAAAACAACACTTTTCCACTAAGTAACACCAAAAGGAGAAATACATTGAAAAGTCACAACATCAGACGATCAGCCGTTTACGCATTTTACAAATTATACAAGGACAAGACAGATTTCCTCAGCGCTGTTTATTTGAAAAAGAATGTGTTTTCTGTTATCACTCCAGAGAAATAAACGGTCACCACCTGCAATGAAAGGATCTGCTCACCAAGGGAAACATGGTGTCATTTTCCACAACAGTCCTGCTCACTTTTGTTTGCGATGCAGCCGCCTTTGTTTGGAAAGGAAATCATGAAACCAGTTTTAACATTTGTTTCTTGGTTGTCTTACATATGGACATCCTAATCTGTCTTTTTCACTCCAAACCCAGAGGACAAAAACATGCAAAAGAAACGCTTATTCTGAAAGCTGCTCATGTCATCTGGAACTCCAAGAGTCACATTTGATCACTCTGTCAACTCATTTATTCAATGCTGCAATTTCTGACATAAACATTTACATTTTACAATTATGTAGCACTATAGAAAGCAGACTGTAGCATTGGAGATGTCACTAAGAGGCTGCTGATTCTCCTCTTTGTCTTTTTCTGCCTTTTTCTCCATGTCTTCTTCTTCTTTCTGTCTCTAACTCTGCTTCTTACTCAACTATTTTTATAACAGTGAAAAGCGCCTCAGCAGTCGGTATCAGGAATCTAAAAATGGAGCATATTCTTTTACTTTAGATGTGACGTCACTGAAGAATTTAAGCCAGTGTTTGAACTGTAGGCATGCTTATTCAGAGTTTCCGTTTATTCCCCTTTGTTCCCATTAGTGCTCTTTCTTTAGCTTTTTGCAGCCCAAAGCCAAAATAACACTTTAAAAGTCTTCCTAGTCTCACCGTAGACTATAATCTTCACTGACTCCTATACAGATAACGAGACTGGCATGCCTGCATGTCTTTATTATATCAGATTTCAGAAGAGGCCTGTTGAGATAGTGGTGAGATGATAATTTACAGAGGCAGACGCTCCATTGTGAGTTGTCGGCTGTTCAAGTCCTTGACTGACCTCATTTACATGGCGGTCATTTTCCAGTCCAATGTTATAGTCAGGGTTGGAAGCCTTTATGCTGTTTTAATGTCATACTGCTGGGCCCCAGGTCTCAAGTTTTACAAACTAAAGGACGAATCGTTGTCATCTACTGCTTCTTGATTGTTGAACAGTAAAAATATGGGGTACATCGTCGCATATTTCAATTGAAATCAACACATTTGGAAACCATTTATGTGTAGAGAACGGGTAATATTAGCATTTAGCCACTTTCTAGATATCAATGGCATTAGCGTTGATCTTCCGACACAATCGAAGAGAGAGGTGTTAACTTTAAGCTAATATTAGCTAGGAATAAACTTGTTAAATGATACAAAAGGAAAATGGCTAAATCCTACTTTATAGTGTATTGTTAGCTAGAAAATTAGCTTCTTTGCTATCAAAATGCGTTAATAATGTTAGCTAGAAGTTTAGCTTCTTTAACAAAATGCGTAAGTAATGTTAGCTAGTAAGTGGTTAGCTAATAGGTTATCATCTATGTTTTTTAATGTTTTACCCAAAGTCACTCTTTATTTTAACTATCAATTGTCGTTTTAGTTGTTCAACAATCAAGAAGCAGTGAAATGATAAATATTATTAGAAATACTTTATTTGTATGACAACCTGGAATACAGTACAAAAGCAGTATTACAGCGTTTGAGCTCCCAACTCTGAGGGAAACGTCTGAGGAAATTGGCTGCAGTGTGAATATGGTACATCAGCTAGTTTGGAGCATGTTCATTTTTGAAACTGTGGGATTCTGTGTTTTCTCACAGTATATGCAGGGCTGTAAAACACTGAGCATTGTGGGTCTCTATATATTAAAAAAAAAAGTATAGTGAGCTGAGAACTTTTATTTTACAAAGAGTCTATAAAATTGAATAATAGTTAAATGGAAATCTATATAATGGAGGAGATGTTGTATATTTTTTTATATATAGCACCTGAAGATATTTTGTTGTAGTACCGGTATAAGTGTTGGTTTAATATACAAAGTATAAAGACTTCTATATAAGAATATATCTATCACATACCAATATTTCAAATGATGGATCAGTTTCAAATGGAGGCGGCAGCATAGAAAGAGTGCACCTAATACTGTAATGCATGACAAATGTTTACATGATATACTCTTTGTGACACAACTTACACTCTAATGACCAAACTTTGCATCTGTTAAAACAGTTGAAAGCTTTTATTTCGGGCTCTGTTGTCTCTCCATTTAGATTGATCTTTCATTTGACCATCAGTATCATAATATCTCACATGGTTCATGTCTTCATTGTTGGGTTTTGTGCACGTCATTTGTCTGTTGATGAATCAGTCACTCAAAGGTGACCCTTTTTATGCGTTAAGTGGAGGTCAGCAGTCATGCAAAGTGAGAAAAGGTTGTTTCCTATACTTGGAAATTCAGTTGAACCCTTTGCAGAAAATTTTATCCGCAAATATGATCGATTATAATACATTATGCATGACATTTCCAGAGTTAAAAAGTCTGCATTGTGCATAAAATGTTCACATAAAGCATTGGAAAGCGCCTTTGAATGGAACAAGTTGGGTTTGTCCAACCGTGTTCGAGTTGAAAACCAGAACTAGACTGTTATTTACTGACCACAGATGCAGCACAAATGCAGATTAGCAACAAGTACAGGTGTATCAAACCAAACTGAGTTCTTCACTGAAAGTTCTTTATGCATCATTGACTTCCTCCTCCGCTGTTTCAGTTTTCTTCATTGTTGCATAACCGTTTTCTGTGTAAATATGTAAAACACTTCATAGTATAACAGAGTGACATTGTCTTTTATTCAGACAAATATCTATTTCAAATGTAGCCACTGTGACTAGACCAAAGCAACGTAAAACCTTTCTTTCTTTTTTTGTGGCTTTTTTTTCTCATCCTTTTGTGTGCATTTTTTTATGTTTACTTACATTGTGTCTTCAGTTATTCATAAAGTCTGTAGTTGTCCTTGTATATTTTTATGTGTACATGTCTTGTACAAATGACTGTGTTTTTAATTAAAGAACAAGCTGTCACACCTTAAATTGACTGCTAATGACATTTTTTTACACTCATCGATCACAGGCTGATGAAAAATACTGACTGAGCTTTCATCGAATTCAAGTTATTTCTAAGTGCTTTGTAATAACTGAAAGGCAAAATGTATTTTTTTTAAACCTTTAATTGCATGTCTGAAAAGCAACATTTCACCTTGAAATCCAAGCTTGTGCAACATTAATCAGTGTTTTCCCCTCTGGCTGTCTACAGAAATAAGGCACTATATGCACAGTATATTCCAGAAACCTTCCTGCCAAATTCTCCTATACCCTTCTTTGATTTAATCTGTTGTCTTCATGTCTTGCATTTCTCTTTGACATGTTTTTCCAACTCCTCCCCATGTCTGCATAAGCTCAGCCCTCAGCATGGTGTAATTAAGCCTCTAAAGTGGCGGATTGGTTCAGAGCACAGGCACTCCTGCCAGAATAATACAGCAAAAAGTACCCACCAGAAATTTGGAATAATCTCTCCCCATGACATCCCCTAAACCCAAACTATCAGTTTTGACATAATACAGGGGATTAATCTGGGTCTAAATCTATAAATCTGATAAAGCGGGATCGGGTAATCTCCCACTGGAAGGCCTGCTGGACTGAGATGATCCAACTGAGAAGTGCAAACCACTGGCTCTACAATCAGAAAGTGCCAAGAGATCACTTGACGCATCATGCAGTGGCACAACTTCAACCTAGGAGAAATTCATGGTCCACACGATATAAAAAATCCCCCATATATTTCACTTTTTATCCCGTTAATGTACAATTAATATTTTTTAATGTAATGTTGACTATGAATATTATAAAAGTGGTACAGTTGAAAAATGTATATCTCACATTTTATTGTAGCAAAATCTATTTCTAACCATCTCCATTCGACAGCTTCTTTGAACCTCCTTTGACATGTTAACTTTTCTCTTTGACATGTTTCCTCCTTCTTAAACGAATGCTTCTGTCCATCAATTCCTCCTCATTATGAAAGAGATCTACCTGTCCCATGTTTCCTCCTCTGTGGTGAATTCTTTAGTTGATTCACTCCCACAGGGGTTGCATGTTTTGTGTCCTTCACGCCTGAGCTCCTGCCTCGCTGTGAGGCACTCAAAGGTCAGTCTGCAGGTCTCACGGGGCCGGTGTGGGCGGTAGGGACCTTGGGAACCTTGACCACAAAAACCATCGGGTCTTTGGCCTTGTTGCCGAACGCTCGGCGAATAACATCCACTGCGTGCTGATGAGTCACTCCCTGCAGACTCTCGCCGTCCACAGACAGAAGTTCATACCCTGCCTACAGATTTACACACAGAGAATGGAAAAATATGATACATGCAAAACAATAATTTAACACAAAATAAGATTTTTAGTCCTTATTAACAAAATATCTTTGAGTGTCTTCCACTTCTCTGTATCCTTTTTTTTTTGTAGCAATCGGTCTCTTTAAAGACACTTTCCATAAATCTGCAGTGATTGTGTTCCTTAGCGAGGACCTGATTTATGCCATAGAGAATTGTGCCTCTCCTGCTACTTTTATGTATTCACACTGAAGGCCGTCACTATTGCACACATAAAGTTTCCCCTTCAGCACAGGGTTGTTCGAAAAAGAACATACGCCGAGACAAGCACACGTGCACACGCACACACACACATGAAATCTCTGTTTCCTGCAGAATACGAACAGAGAGTGACAAAACTGTGGAGCCCCTAGGAAAGGAACTTCCTCTGATGTCATCAGCGTTCGTTGAGGATGCACCTGCCTCATGTGTTCAACCTCAGTGAAGGTTAGAAACACAGAGCAGACAATGCCAGTGGCCATTGTTGTATCTCCACCTATAACGTCTTTTCCCTTTCCCTTTTCCTCTCCAGTCATTAGACATTCATTTTCCTTTTTCAGCACGAGCCCTATTTATCTTACAGGTGTCAAATACATCTGGATGATATAGGAGGAGAAGGCCGCCCTGACTTTGTCCTGACAGCTTTTCCAACGGCTCAGCAGACAGTCTTGTGTTCACCACTAACCTCATAACCTGCCCTGAGATCAGGATCAAAGATTTAGATCCATTTAACCAAACGGCAGATTAAAGGTGCTTTTTCATTTTGAAAAGTAATTTATTTGAATTAAACAGATCCAACCTAATCTGTCGCATCCTCTTTGCAGCTTTTTTTGGAGCACATTCATGAGTTTCTCTCTCTTCGAGCCAATGGATGTCACAATCTAAAAATAATCTAGCCTTTAAAAGTGACTATAGCTTGCATGGAAGGATCAATGAAATGTTTATCAGTTTTACCTTACAATTAAATTCAACATAAGAAGAGGCGTATTGGCGCTATGTACCGCTTATTTGAATCTCTACAGATGCAGTATGTAAGCCATACTTACATGTTGCACCAAAAACTGAATCTTTCATTTGAATCTTATGACATTCAGTCAAACCCAGATTTACAAATAAAGTATAAAATTATGAATAACATTGGCAAAAAAGTAATTTGGATTCCTCCTCTAAAGACCACATACAAATTCATCGAATGTATGGGAACTGATCCATCTGTGTTGAGATATTTGAGTTGGACGATAGACCAACGATACATCAATGAAGCTGCATTGCTAAATTGGCAAAATATTTGTCAAAATCAGGACCAGTTAATCTGGATATTTTTGACTTTCTAGTGATAAGTAGCACAAAAGACTAAAAATAAAAGTTATAGTATCATACAGCGTGTATTTACTCCTCCCTGTCACACAGTAACAGGAGGCACATGACAACATTTCCTCTGATAAAAGCAGGTGGTTAAAAAACAGGAATACACATGGCCACACGTCTCCACACACACAAAACAACATTCTTCACTGATTATATGTTATCATGAGGGTCAAAGGAAACAGGATGCATGTTAACACTAAGCTGAGCAGATAGCTGGGAGCCAGGGAGCTGATATGGGCCAGCTGACAAGGCTTGTTTTGAGGTGTGATGTAGAAACAACAGAAGGTGCTAGCAAGTTGCTAAATATCTGCAGCTTACACTATGACTCTGTTCTTAGCCATGCTAGCAGCACTCTGGTCCAAACACAAATATCTCTACAACTTTCAACATGATGCGATTTGGTTCAGACATTGTTACAAACAACATGAATCCCTCTGAATTAGGCTACCTCCATATCTTCAGCATATTATCTTTGGTATTAAAAGCAGTTAGCATACAGACGTTGGCTCAAAATACTGCTGTGCCTAGGAGCAGTTCCTCAAACACATGTTCATTTTTGAGGGCCCTTGACTTCGAGTGAGTTCATCAAAACAAACTACAAGGGTCAAAGCCAAAACCTTTACATGGAAAATTTGATCTCGCTTGCTTTTGTTTTATTTCCAAAGCGTAATACACTGATTTAACTGTGCTGTCATTCCATTTGATGTTAATGGGGATTTTTCGGCAAAACTTATAACAGTCCTATTAGGATTTTTATGTGTTGCGTCATTATTTCCTTACACCAGTATCATGTTTCGCTTCCTGAAAGCATTCCAGGAATTTTCTTCTACAGCCCAATTTAGAGTCTCCATCTGAAAACATTCATTTCAAGGGCCATTTATGGGAGACCAATATGACTTGATCCCAAAAGAAACATGACACCAGGAGGCACCCAAAATGAATGGATGGGGTCAGGCGCAGGGGCAGGGGCAGGGGCAGGGGCAGGCGCAGGGGCAGGGCAGGGCAGGGGCAGGGGCAGGGGCAGGGGGACTTGGTATGCGATCTTGATCCAAGCTGTCTCTTTTGCCAAGTTCTTATTTCTATATACCACGATCTTAAACATTATTTTCCATTTCTGGCACTTTTGTTGTTCTTATACCGGATTTCTGCTCCCTTTCTTGTGTGTGTGTGTGTGTGTGTGTGTGTGTGTGTGTGTGTGTGTGTGTGTGTGTGTGTGTGTGTGTTGCTTGTTTGAACATAAAGGCAGACTTGTA